AGAACCATTCAGGGAGGGCCCAGAATGATGTCATTTTTACCTTAAGATATTGTTGAAGACATTCTTTGCTCATTACACAGATGGAAGAAATTTCTCCCAGGAATCTCTGTGGCTTTCTTTTTTCTTTTTGAGTAAAATTTTCAATTTTTATTTTATAGACAACTTGAATTATGTTACTTATCCCATATAATTCATTTTAATGAATTTTAAAAAGCACCAACTGAGATGTATGGCTTCCTGTAACCCCTGTGTGAACTTCAGGAGTGCTTTTATTAACTTACTGTACCTCTGAGGTCAAATCACCAACTACTCTTATTTTCTCGTTTCCTTGATTTTTCCATTTGCTTTACATTAGTATTATTATTATTCCTATATAGTCATGTTCAAGCAGCCTTAAATTATTTTGAAACGGGCATACGTATTTTAAAATGCTGATTAACACAATGCTACATAGGAAGATGAAGTATTCTTGTAACTGCATAATAACACAAATGTTGAGATAATTCTCCATGTCCTGTGGACTTTTGTTTTCACCTTCTGCATTTCTCTTTGGCAGTTGTTCACTTGAAAGAATATCCATTCCTTGAGGCTTTTCAAAAAAGAGCAATGTATTGTTATCTTTAGAATTTTGCACTCTGCCTCCCTGTATCTTTTTAAAAATGAATTTATTTATTTTTAGCTGACTCAAGGAAGATGAGTACTTCCAAGCCCTCTTCCGGCACCCCAGGCGTCGTGGTCTTTGTGGTCCTCCTGACTGTCATCGGCGCTGGCTTCGGTGCTTACTACTTTTATAAAAAAAGACGCATACCCTTACCTCCAGAGGGCACTTTTGAAAACACTCTCTATTTTAACAGTAGATCAAGCCCAGGAACTAGTGACACAAAAGATCTCATGGGCAACATTGAACAGAATGAGCATGCAATCATCTAGACTCAACATGTGACTTAGATGCATTTGAGTTTCCTAAAATAGTAACTCAAATATTAGGGCCTCTCATTCAATGTGATTGTCTCCTTTAAAATTAGTACTGTGTCGCACTGGTCTATCCTTTTTTCTTTGTCTAATTGAAAAAAGTCATTAGAAAAATCATGCTCTAGCTTGGCAAGAGATTTTCACAAAAGAGGTATAGAAATATTGACTACCATTTAAAAAAAATATCTCAGGTGAATACAGAGCACAACAGTGCCTACATTTTGAACATCACTGCTGTGTAGCTGCTACTAACTGCACGCAGAGCATAAGAACCTCAGAAGCAACCCCTGAGCATTTTCTGAGATAGGTGAAGGAGCTCCCAAAGAAATATTGCCTATTGAATTGTAAATTAGTCATAGAAGATGATATAAAAATCAAGTATCAGTAATCTCAGGTGGCATAAAATCTTAGTGCCTTTTTATTCTTTGACCTATGCGGGTTTTCACTCTAGGTGTCACCATGGCATTTGTACACACACGGAATAAATACTGTAGCTGAGAATCTTGTTTTTCCACAAACAAGATGTTCCAGGTTGAATATTGCAAATGTGTTCTTTGTCCTCTTATGTGTATATCAGGAATGCAAAGATGTGAAATAAAAATGTAAATTTGCATAACTGGATGTACTGAGATCATGTGAAATGCATTATCATGCACATCTGTTTTTAACAGATTTGTATTTTGGTCACCCTGGCAAGTATAAATTTTTTTTTAAATGAGATTCATTTATCCATTTACTTTACACTTAACCTTATTCTTAAAGCTAACCATATCGCTGATAAAGGAATTCTTTAAATTAAACCTTCATCTCCTAGAAAAAAAGATATATTGCTAAAACTCTGTGTAAAAGGAGTTTTACCATAATGCCTTGCAAATTTCCACCATAACCATCTCTCACCCCCGAATTCAATAATCAAAGGCACTGTTATCAGGAATTATTTTGTCGTTTTTTTGTGCTTCAACATATTGCCTGAGATAAAGCTTTGTGTGCACTGTGAAATACTTTGGAAGTTTCATACCTCATGTGGGTACCACACGTCCAGCTCATCCTTTCTCAAAGTGTTGCTAAAGGCATGGATCCTTTACCTGAATTCCCTGGGCAAACACCTCGGATGGTGTGAAGGGATCTGCGAAGTCTCCCAGACTGCATGCAAAGTGTTGTCTCCATATGTAGTTGTATTGTGTTCTTTCTGGGAAGAAAATAGCTAAATTTAAAAAAATTCATAATTCAATAAAACAGTAGCACATTGGTTAAAAATGGGATAAAGTTGCTAATAGGTAAGAGGAAAGGGAGACAGGGAATTGTAGAAACGAGTTGATGAGCACAAACAACTCCTCACACCTCAACCAATAGAAAACAAATAGGTTTTTATATTCCTGGTAAGAAAATATAATTCATTTGAAGAAATTCCAATGGAAACAATGGCTGCAGCATCAGAGAAACATGCAGTTAACCTTACTGTGTGTGTGTGTGTGTGTGTGTGTGTGTATCAGAAATACTAGAAATATGGTATTCGGTGAGAAACATGAGTGAGCGTGGTTTATGAATTCTTTACACAGTCACTTTCAGTGTTATTCAGAACTGTTTTCCAGGAAGTCTCCATGCAACATACATCTCAGACGTACGTCTTTTTTTAAGAGATTTATTTATTTATGCATACAGAATGGGGGCACAGGCCAGAAGTGCAGGGACAGTGAGAAGAGTCTTCAGAGACAAAGTACACTGCTGAGGGGAGCAGCAGGCAAGACAGGAGAGGTCTGCTGTGCCATGTGGGTCACCGCCCTGGTCAGGGGTTGAACTCATGTTGAGGCAGCTGAAGCCAGCTTTCTAGTGCTACACTTTAACCCACTGCACCCCTGGGGAGGACCCTGTGCATGTCTTATGTCATCAGGAAAAAGTATATTTGGCAGGATGCTGAGTATTATATTTCACGTTCATACTCTTCTCAAGCATGTAAGTCATCTATCTACAGATCTATCCAAATCCAAAACTGAAATAGGAAAGATTTTTTTTTTGAGGGGGTAAGGAGGATTGGGAAGAGCAGGTTTTGTTTTGTTTATTTTATGCATTTATTTTTAGTTGTAATTTTTGTTGTTTTTTTTAACCTGAAATTCTCTCTAGGGATTAAATATTTAACTGTTCTCCCAAGTGGCTTTGCTCTTGTTTCAGGTTTCCATCAGAATTCAGCAGCTGGAATATTAGGATACTATTAAGAATATTTTGGCCCAGACAATCTCTCCTGTCTTGCCTCTACTACCTTGCAAGGCACTGATCAAATCTGCCTTTTCTGTTATCAAAAAGAAAAAAAAATAGGCATTATATTTTCCTAGTTGCCCTCAAACAATGTGAATAATCTGTAACTTGAACTCTAAAATAAAGGTGCTATCTGGAGAGACTGGCAGGCTCTTGTTTCATCCATTTTTCAGTATTCACTCATTCTTCAGTTTGTACATGACCCACATCCAATGTTTCTTAAACATTTGATATGTGTTCCAGGCATTGAGCTAGCTCCTGGAGAGTCAAATTTGGGCAAGAAACATCCCTTGTTGTTTACCACAAGTAGAGTCTAGTAGAAGCCAAGACAAGAAGGGCCTGCCTGAGCCTGGTGATTGCACTGGTTGAAATAGGCTTAAGGCCCGCCCTCCCCCCCACCACCAATTTTATTGAGATGTAATTGACATATAACACTGTATGTGTTCAAGATGTGTGATAAAATGGTTTGATACATTTGCATATTACAAAATGATTAAATAAAGTGTATTACACAGTCATTCCCTCACATACTTACAATTCAAAATAGGTTAAAGGTATCAGTGAAGCAGTGAGAGATGTAGATGTGGCTTTATCAAAGCAGAGCCAGGATTTCTGGGACCTGGAGATAACCCTTTTTTTTTTTTTTTAAAGATTTATTTATTTGTTCATACAGAACTGGGGTGCAGGCCAGAGGCTCAGGGGCGGTGAGAGGCTTCACCAGAGACAGAGTGGGGAGCAGAACAGGCAGATCGATGAAGTACACTGCTGAGGGGAGCAGCGGGCTGGTCAGGAGAGGTCTGCCACATCATGTGGTCACCTCCGGGGCAGGTGGGGATCGAACTCATGCGGAAGTGGTTTTAGCTTCTCAGTGCTGCACTTTAACCCGCTGAGCCACCAGGGAGGGCCTGGAGATAACCCTTTTTTTGAGGGATCTCTTCAAGGAAAAGAACACAAAGTGAAAATTTATTATGTATGAAAAAAATTTGAAAAATTAAAATTTTTTAAAAGCTTGCATTACAGGTTATATTGTAAGTTCAGGACAATCGCTATTTTTAATAACTTCTGACATACTTTGTATTCATTTTCTTGATAGTCTAAAAATATCAGTTTTATTAAGTTTATGGCCTTAAATGTAAATTTAAGTGCCCTGTGAATAGAATTGCAAGAATAGAACCTCTTATCAGTTGACCCTAAATTAGAAATTTAGCCTGGTTGAGCCTGATTTAATCAGTTAAATGGTCTTAAAATTGGGCTAAGATCTTCCCTGAAGTAGAGATGACTCATAGCTATAGAACCTGCCATTCCAGGTACTTCTGGCTTTCCCTTTTTGATAGTCTACCTGATGGATTTCAGACCAAGCCTTGTGTAGACAGCTACACGTGCAGAAACCTAGTCCTTGGAATAGATTTATAAACAGCAAATATGTGTTCATCTTCCATTCACCCATCATCAGTATATGTTATCACTTCCAAGTGATTCTATTTATTTGACTGAACCCTGATTGATAGCCCATTACTATGCTGATAACCATATACATGTATTGTTCCACTAGACCCAAATAAAATGTATTCCATACTCAATGTCTCGTTTACCCTGATTCTCAAAAATACTCACGTTCACTCCAAACCACCCAACACGAGAAAGTTTGAAAGGAGGTAGTTGGAGTGGAACATCTGAAATAATTGTGTTTCAAATAAATTTACTTCTGCAATTCATTTTACTTCATTTTAAAGACATGACCACATGAGAATATTGCCAGAGTCCCTCGCAGAGGCATGGAAAGATCCCAGGCAGGTAAGTGTGTCTTCATGAGTGTCACTATAGAAAGTCAGAGATAATTTCTTTGGGAGGTACCACCTGAACAGAGATCTACTCAGCCAAAAGGAGGAAGACAAAGTATATTAGGGGTGAGGGAGGAAGGTGGGAATAGACATCAGACAGAAAATACTTGGTGCAAAGCCACTGGGATAGAAAGCTGCGGACTGCTGACAGGGAGTAAGTCAGGGAGATGAACATGGCAGTGATACACGGCCAAATGCAGGCATACCTTGTCTTCATGCACTTTGTTGTGTGTGGTAGATAATGCATTTTTTACAATGTGAAGGTTTGTGACATATTTGCACTGAGCAGGTCTATTGGTGAATTTTTCCCACAGCAATTGCTTTCTTCATGTCTCTCATATTGTGGTAATTGTTGGCAACATTTCAGACTTTTTTATTGTTTTGTTATGGCAATTAGAGATTGGTGGTCTTTATTATTGTCATGGTTTGGGAACACTACAACAGACCCCATATATGGCAGTAACTAACTTTCTATAACAAATGCAAGGTAGAAAATACTACCTTAATTTAGAAACCTTTGTGCTATTAAGAATGTAAACTCGGTTTGATTAAGAGTTTGCTTTCTGCAAGTATCTTTAGGGATATCGATTACATTTTATATAAATGGATGTCTCAAGATATTGGAATCACCTGAGCCTTGCCCCCCATATAACCAGAATGTGGGAACAAGATTCAGGCTTTGGTCAGATTTTGAACAGAGCAAGCAAATTAAAACTGCCTGGATGATTTTAAGAAAAACTAATGTGAAAAGCTTGAAATTATGAATTACCTCTTAGGATTTCCTATTAGGTCAAAATTCTTGAGAATGTGAGTATAAGAAAACCTCTGACAATTGTTGGAGAGCAGATGATGAATGTCCTGAAGAAGAATGGCGACCCTCAATATATAATCTTTTTCAGCCAAAGACATGTTCTTGGTCAAGTCTAAGTAGAAAATATGTCAGGAGACTTCTTCCACTGGAGACTTTTTCCAAACTGCACAAGAGTGCATCAAGAACACATACATTGGTATTAGAATTTCTTTCGCATTCTGTAAATGTTTCTCATTTAGAAGGGCTCCCTGACAGGCAGCTCCTTTAAACAAAAGGTGACATTGACATGGAAAAGGCTCCCTGGATTGGCTGTGATCCGATCCTCTGTTCTGCGGGGGCTTTAAAATGTTGGTTATTCATGGCAGCTCCACACCACAGGTTTGGCAAAGGTTATTGATCTCATTCAACTAGCTCTGTGGGTTGAGTGCAAACCTTTCCTATCACAGCTTTCTCCTTCTGGGTCTGATTACAATTCATGTACATGCAGTTCTCGAGGACTTTTAAAGAATCCTACAAAGCTACCATGCTCTCATTTCTGTTGATTTAATTTTTTTTCTGAGAGGCAAGAAAGTTCAAGACTCTGGGCTTGCCTCTGCTTCAGGGTTTTGGCAGGAGTTCTTAAACCTTGAAGGGCCTAAAAGCCACATGTGATTATTCAAAAGGCACATTTCTTTGGGCCCAAGTTATGATCCTGATTAAGTCAATCTGGGTTGGAGTCCTGAAATCTGCATTTCAACACACATCCCAAAAGATTCTGATGTCTTTAGGCTAGGAGTTTGATGAGCACTTTATTATGGAACCATTTTGCATTGAGATAGCATTTCCCCGAAGCTGTTAGAAATCTCACATGACACACGAAGTAAAAGCAGACTGGCCAAATAGGGAGTGGATTCTAGCTACAACTATCTCATTCTTTCTGTTAATTACTGAGGCACCATAATCGCTAAAATCTACTTTGCTCTTTTTGTCTCGAACCTTCTTATGTTCTCTGCTATGGACTGAATGTCTGTGTCTAGTTCCCGAACCCCCTACTCCACCTTCAGTTCATATTTGGAGACCTAATCCCCAGTGGGAGATGAGGGAATGATGGTGGAGCTCTCATGCATGGGTTAAGCTCTCACATAAACGAGATCCCAGGAGCTTTCTAGCCCCTTCTGTCTTGTGAGAGAGCACAGCAGGGAGACAGTCCTTTGTGAGACAAAAAATGGGCTCTCACCAGACACTGAATCTGCCAGAACCTTGATCTTGGATTTCCAGCCTCCAGAACGATGAGAAATGAATTTCTGTTGGTTATAGCTACACGGTCTCTGGAATCCTGTTGTAACAGCCTGGGCTAAGTCACCTCCCAGTGCTCTACCATTCCTACATCTCCTTTACAAATATCACTAATGAGTATGGATGAGCTGATGATCTGTCCCTCATTTCCAGCCTTATAATATACACTGTAGGAGGGGAAATGTCAGACATTATGTGGGTCCTAGGCCGAAGGCTAGATCTTTGTGGAAAGCATTAGTTCTCCATGTTGTGGGTATTAAGAGGAAATTGTCCACAGAGAGACTCTCATTTCATGAATTTGCCCAGCTCCTTGAGTCAGAATTTGCTAATCTTATTAAAGGAAGTAAATGGAAACCTTCTAATGCTCGTGATCATCATAACTATTTAATTCCCCTTTATTCTCTTGTGGAGGGCAGAAGAAACCTCACCATCTTTGAGAAAGATGGCAATAAATATTTCAAAGATGATGACTTCTTTTATTTTCCCTTTCATTTCTTAAAAATCAGAATAACACTTGGTTATAAAGGAAGTATGGAAACTGATTAAGAATCCATCCTAGACTAGCATGTGGCCATAATCATATGAATTTCATAGTGTAGTCTCCTGTTTGCCATGTGATACCCTCCAGGTGAATTCTGAGACTCAGAGGCCCTGGCTCTTGAGTTGATAAGAACATTGTCAAACCAGGATAGGGGAAACAAATGGTAAAGACAATTAGTTCCAGGACATCAACATGCTGGGAAGGGAGTTAATACCACTCACTAATCACTCTCCCTCAGCAGGACAAGGTGCCTTGGTTGATTTCTTGAAAGCAACACTGTTTGAAAATGGCCCCTTAAGGGAAGCTAGAGTCTTGTCTTATTTTACTTGAGGACAATAATGTCTGATTTTCTCAAAGGCAATTATATATAACTAAAGCTATCTTGTTTTGATAACTAGGTTCTAACTAGCCCTCTCTGAACAGTTCCCTGGTCATAAAGAATTTTGAGCTCATGCAGTTTATTCCCTTGGGATCCTAAATTCACAACAACATCATCAGCAAATTAAAATCTCCACCCTCCAGAGGAGTTAAGCCACCACTGTCTGAAAATACAGCAAATGTAGAACTAGAAAATACTTGAAGGAAGTATTTTTTTTCCTTGAAGGAAATATTTTCCAAGAGCAGATGGGCAGCATCACCCTACCCCTCCAACCCAGACAGCAAAGACTCCTTTGCGCTCCCTTCTTTCAAACATACTCTTCAAGTCCTTGGTTGGGGAAGAAATTTGATAGATCTTAACATCATGTGTTTCCTCACCGGCAAGTGATAAACTACTCTTCTCTGGACAAAAATTTTGTGTCTGTCTATCTGTGGCACATCTGAGCACGAACCCCTTGAATTTATATTCAGTAACAGGACCACAGGAGGGGATCAGAGGTTTCAAAGAGCAAAGAAGGGAGACATGGGACTGATAATTTTAGGATTTTACTCCTTTATATAAATATGTGTGTGTGTGTTTATATATTATATCGGGCAGATTTGACTCCCTCAAGAAAATTCTAGGCTCAAGGTTGACCATCTTTCTCTTTGGGCCTTTTATACTATGTGTTAGCAGGTATAAGTACAGATGGATAACATAAGAATTGCTTCTGTTGAGCCTCCCTGGTGGAGCAAGGCTTTAAGTCTCAGCTATTAAGCTGTCCCCAGGCATGGCACCATGAGTTCAATCTCCAGCATGGAGACAACCCACATGGTGCAGCAGACCTCTCCTATCTCCCCTTCTGCTCCCCTCAGCGGTGTACTTCAGTAGATCTGCCTGTTCTACTCCCTACTCTATCCTCTCATCTTCACCTCCCCCTGTACCTCTGGCCTACACCCCAGTTTTTGAATGTATAAGTAAATACAAGTAAATCTACAAAACCCTGCTTTTGTTGAAGAGCCTGTTCCCGTGTCCTTCCAGCTGCCACCCTGTGTGGTGAGCTACCTCCCCTATTTGGACTGCAGCTAGAACACCTACCCTGGTCTCAAGTGCCTGTGCTACGTGTACCACCAGCAGGTCCTGGGACTCTGCTTTATTATCCACAGGGCCGTTCCTCACCCAGTGCGGGCACCCGGGGTGATCTTGCAAAATGTGAAGAAGGAAGTAGACCTAGATGTGACCTTTGCCTGAGCAGCTGACATGACTCACTGCCAAGAGACAGAGAATCTGGCATGATCTCTGAGAGGCTGCAGCCAACTGGAACTTCTAAAGCCACAAGTCACTATGCTTGTTTTGCCTTTTCCTTGCTCTTGTTGAGAAGCCAGATTTCTTCGTTGAAAAGCAGCAACATCTTGATATACTAGGGCTTCCATGCAGGCAGAAAGGAGCAGGGATAAGCTTGAGGAAGCCAAAGAGTATCAGGTAACCTTTCCTGGAGTTGATCTTTGGAGAATCCAAGCCACTGTGTTCTTTAGGAATGTCTTCAACCAAGCATACTCCATGGTGCCAAGCCTCAGGATATCAAAGAACTGCTTACCAAAAAAAAAAAAAAAATCTCTCCCTCATAAGAAGTAGAATGATTTAGCCAAGAGGGCATCTCTGCCAACACATATCACATAGCCTGAGACAAAAAGAAAAAAAAAATCAACACAATGAGAATGTGTTCTTTGAGGAAAGAGCTGCTGTTATTCCTCCAAAGGTTCCTGTTATCATTCAGACATTTCAGTGGCGGCTACTAACGCTAAGAAAGTCAGTAATAGGATAACAAAGTTCAGTGACTCCTATAGGCTCCACACCTCAAAGGCCATCAACATCTATAACTCTTGCGTTTTAAGCCCTGACATCTGTTCTTCAACTCATACAATTTCAGTATTCACTGCATCTGATGTGAAAGTATCAGCCTGTAAAATGTTGGAATGAACCAAGTCAGAAACTTACAATGGTGTAAACTACAAATTCATAGCTGCTGGCAAGGGCAGGAATCAAATACACCATATTGTTCTACTGAACAATCATATCACCTCAACTCTCCACACATCTGACACATTGCAGATGGCAACGTCCTAGAGGTTTCAGCACCAATATTGCAGCCAGCCCAGAGAGCAGCTCTAGGTTCATTTGTTTGCACTTTGAGACCCAAACTACCATCACGGGAACAATCAACACAGTCATCCCTCAGGATTCATGTCTAAGACACCATGATAGTGTCTAAAGCCCAATAGGTATTATATAGTTAGATTAACAACAACAAAAAAAATTAAAAAATGACGTAAAGGGTGACTTCTGTATTGTATGCTTGGAAGTTTTGAGGACATTCTTCTCACTTTTTTGATCTGTCCATAAGTCAAAATCAAGTTATTTGTGCAAATTATTTTTTTTTACAAAATAAAAGTCATTTTGCTACAAGTTATTCTGATGGAATTGAAGAGAAATACCAGGTGTTTAGTAGATTTGCTATGAAATTAATCTCCTTCTTACCAAAGAGCCTCTTCTTTTTTCAAAATTTAAAAAAAGAAAAGTCATGAGATTGGCCAGGAAGACTTTGCTGTTCTTGTTGTTCTGTCAGCACAGAGGGTAGGTCATCCCAACCTCGTCATTAACATCTTTTATTGTGTAATTGTTCAACTTTACTAGACTTACAATGAAAGAATTCTTGTGAATCTTGACATTTTATTCCTTTGGCTATTATTGTATGCTTATAATCTATTCTGTGAATCTATTCATAAAACTTCTATGAAGTTAATAATAGGGTTTATTTTTTGTAAATAATCATGTAATTAAGAAAAAAACATGGCCCTAGGAAGGTAAGTGTGAGTGAATAAATATCATGTTCATGCTGAGGACTCTCTTAAATTTGTATCTTTTGCTTGAACTTGTCTTTAGAACTTTGAACATGCCTACTTGACTGTTCCACTTAAATGTTTTCACAGCTATCTCTACCTTAATGAAATAGAACACAGTCTGTTCCCCAGGCTGTTATCACTCTGAGTCTTAGTGAATGAGAGTATAAGCTATCCAGTCATTCAATCTAGAAACCTTGGAACAATTTCTTCCTCTCTTTTCCTTACCCTCTGTATCTGTCACCAAGTCTGTTCAGTTCTACACTTGTCCAGTTCTTCCTCTCTCTGTAAATGTTCCCTAGTCTAGCCACCATTAACTCTTGACTAAAATACCAAAGAGTCTGCTACCTGCTCTCTCTGCTTCTACTTCAGTTGCTCTCCAGTGAACTTCTGCAGTGCAGGGAGATGACATTCCTCAAATGTGGTGTATATTTTGACCTGTAACACAACTGTAACACAATACCTTTCAATAATTGCTAATTTAATTGAGGAGAACACTCAGAATCCTTGTCATGTCCCAATAGTGACCAGTTGAAACCTGTTCATGGGAACTTCAGTGAGGACAGATTTGATTAAAAAATGAAAATAGTAAGTTATTGTTTTTACACCTGAGAGTTGGACATGTGCCAAACTTTTGCACCAGATTTTTATTCAGATCATAGAATTCCGAATTCCAGTGTCACTCAGATTTAACTTTTTGTGCAGAGAGGGTCTGGTTGACCCTGTCATTCTCAATATTTCCTGCCATTTGCTTGGAGAAACATGTATGACCAGCTCATTAGTTCAAGTGAAGTGCTGGAAGTTTCCTGCTGCTAGTGAGCCAGAATACATAAGGCTCCTCCTGGGTCACTGCGAAAAGCTTAGTATCACCAAAGGAAACCTTGAAAGTTGTGACAATTTGTGCTCCATAATAACTATTTTGTTCAAGGAAATTTTGAAATTTTCTGCTTTGTTGATTTCGCATAAACCTGTGTGTTTTACTACCGTGTTCACGTCAACTTGCATGGTGTTGACCCAGTGGCTCCAACATGGATCTAGACTCCAGGGCACATGCTGTACATACACTCATTGGAGTACATATCTAGCTTCATTCTGTTGGAATGCAGAATCGACCTGACTCGCTGTCTTTGAAAAGGCCAGTGTCTATGCCAGCTCCTTGTTTTATCACCAGCACTGAGCACATAGTGATGGGTGGATGATCAGTAAATATGTAGGGATGAAACTGTGTGTATATGTAAATGGAGTGCTCCCTGGTGCCACATATCGTCATTGATTGTATTACTATATAATTTAATGTCTATAAATCTGCACAACCGGGTGGAGGTGAGTTTCTACCATTATCCTTGCTTCCTAGTTATGGCAACTGAGGGAGAGGTTAAGAAATCTACAGAAGATCGCACAGCTAGCAAGCAACAGAGAAAATCTGATTCTCAGCAATCTGACTTTGAAAGAAAGAGGAATAAGGAAAGGGAAGGAGAGAGGGAGGAAAGGAAGGACAGAGGTAGGGAGGAAGGGAAAGACTTTATTTATCTGAATTCTGTTCCCGGCAAGCAGGCAAGGTGGACTAGGTCAGGCTACAGCTGCGTAGGAGTTAGTGAAAAGTCAGAACAATCAAAGGTGCCAGCAGCAAAAGCGGGGTCCATGGGGAGAGCCACCAGGAGCAGGGAGTCAGGGTGCGTGGGGCAAGGCCAGTGGGCTTCCCAGCACCACCCTACTGCCCCTTCTTAGGGTCTGGTGGCCCTCCCTGCCTCAGTGTGGGGAGAGGGGAAAGGGCTTCAAGCTGTTGTGCCAGTATTAATCCAGAGACCAACCAGTTGGGTGTTTCACTGTATTTGTCACATTAATCATCATTATCATTGAATCACCAATACATGACAGGACATTTTTTTTCCACTGTATGTTTTTTATAAGAAGAGAAATATTGTTTGGAAGCTGTACATAAAAGATGTGACTTTTTGAAAGTCATTTTTTACTCTCAGCTTCCAAATGAAAGACAATATAAAGATCTAAATTCATAGTAATACAGGTTTTCCAAATATTGGAAATACAGTGATGTTGGCAGTGGCAGAACCAGAAGATGTATAAATCTAGGCCCTATCCTTTAGACAGGACTTTCAGTCCAATAGTCTGCTTTTCCTCCAAGAAGATAGTTTAGACAAAGAGTAACCTTTGGTTCTAATTCCTGGTGGGTAGGTCTGCTAATAAGCATTACAAGAGAGGGGAAGCCTGTTTCCATTTGTTTTAAAGTTCTGCTTTAAAAAAAATGTATTTTTTGTTCTCCTTAGACTTTAGACTGAAGGGACTTTGGAGAGAATGCAAAATAGCAAAGTATAGCAGATGGTTTCCTTTGTGACCGGCTCTCATCTGATCCTTGGTCTAGCCCCCTCATGGCAAGGTAGCTGCTTGGTCTTACAAATAGCAACACTGCAACAGACAGTTGCTTGGAAACGTAAGCACCAACTTTTAAGTGACAGGCCTGGATTCCTGGTGACACCTATTAGCAGTGCGACCTCAGGTATTTCCGAAATGTGCAATGAGTTCACTAGGTTTACCTCCTATGACATGAGAATATATCTTGTGCTGCTTAGCCTATGCTGAAACCTTAAAAACTGTTTGTAAGCATTATCATCATTAAAGAGAGGCGACGTGTAAAGGCACACTTGTGGTGGAGGTGTGCATCTTGGAGTGTGGGGCCTCACACTCCTCCAGAAGGTTGCAACAAGGACTGGCTACGTATGAACAGACAAGCCCAGAGGGCCGCCATCTGCTCAGACCTGCGTGAGATAGTCACCCCTCCTTTCCTCAAGACATTTCATGGGAAATTGTTGCAATAAAGATACAAATCTGTGAAGGTTCAGAAGAAAATAGTGCTCCCTAGAGTCATACTGAAACCGGATCCCTGTGCACAGCCATTGTGGCAAAACGGGCTTTTCCGCACTCTGAGGTTAAGGACCAGCTTGAGCTTCCACAGCCGTGGCAGCAGGGGAGGGAGTTCAGCCTCAGCTGCTTCAGCATGTGGCCTGTGGCGCGTAGCTGCAGCTGTTTGAGCCCCATCTTCCACCATAGCCCTGCAGCATCAGCTTTGAGGACTGCCTCGCATTTTTCCCTTGGCCCCACACCCAGATCACCTTAACAGCGTGAGGTATTCGACTGCCCGCCACCCGGTGTAAGTGCCCTGTTAGGGTTCAGTAGCCAGAGGATGGCACCTGTGGCAGGTGGGCAGGACGGAGCCATATTGCAGGAAAGGCCTTGGTTGGGACTCCTGAACACTGCGGACACATCTACCTGTGAGACAGGTGGCAGCTTGTGGCTTCAGAAACTCTTTATTTCCCCAGGCTTCTGTTTGTGAAATGAACAACATGTCGGACCTGAGCCTCGGTGATACTGCAGCTGTTAGCATAGAGATGAGAACCCAGTGACCTGCCCCACCTCAGCACTGTCCTGTGACCCTGTGCAGCACCGTTTTAATATCATGTCCACCTGCACATCGTCCCTGGTGGCCAGCTCTATCATTATTTCAGTCTCTTCCTAAATTGCTGCCACCTTGTATTTTCAGTTTTTTTAGTGGGCCCCTTTAAATTCTTGCTGGACCAACACAGGGTACACGTGTAAACATTATGTGGACAGGAGGGAGATGTTTGAAACTCACGTCACACAGAAAGGTAAAGAATTACAACTGAAGAAGGGAGTGATTGTGTTAGGGGAAAGGATGTCCTGAAGGAACTCTGCAGAGTTTTGTGGACTTTACCCCCTACTCCAGCTTTCTGGACTCCACCCCCTACTCCAGTGATTGAAAACTACAGCTCCCAGCAGTACCAGGGAGAGAACTGCAAGGACCCATGGGCGGAGCTAAGCAGGTATTCTGGGACTTTTGGGGATATATAGGGGGGCATTTTAGATGGTTTCTCTCTCTGAACCGCTTGGCATTCTCTGGACCATGTGGCTGTCTGGACCGTGGGGGCTCTGTGGACCATGTGGCTGGTGGCTATCAGTGTGTTATTGGAGTTCTGAGTCAGTGGAGCTGGTAGGATGCTCTAGTTAACTCGTATCTCTCTTTCTCTCTTCCTCTGGTTTGTTCCTTTTCCTTTCCCCTTTTCATAAATAAACCCATTATTGACCCTGTTTGTGTGTGCCTGCAGTACAATTAAATTTTAAGCGCGCATGTGAGGACCCACAGACAGGCAGCCCAGTTCACATTGGGGTGCCCTGTAACAGTTGGCCAGGACTCTCCCCCCTCCCACTTTTCTCCTGCCTCCCGTCCACTATACCGACATGGGACAGCAAAAACAAGTGTCTGTTTTTCAAGATGTACGGTGTCAGAACTTTTCCAAATGGGGCACTCAACACCCTGTAAGTATTAATCAGAAGTAAATTAATTGGAAGTTAACTCTCTACACAGTCAGTTAACAAGTGAAACTCCTAACCCCCAGAAGTTGATTTGGGTTGCCACTTCACTGATATTTCAGAGAGGCTTATTTAGGATGTGTCAGGAAAGCAGACAGGTTAGTCACAAAGGGTTGAAGGTACTAGCAAGAGTCGGGCAAAGAGTGAAGTGCTTTGTTCACCAAGTGTTTCTCTTTTGACTCCCCTTTCTTCTGTGATCTCCTGCCAGCCCACCTCTGCTCAGGCCCACTGAGAGACTCACCCATTGCTTCTCCCTGCCCCTCCTCATCCCTCTGGCACTGTGGGACAGCAATAGCTATGTCTGGTGGCTGGTTGTTGGTGTGCCTGTGCTGGCCCAGCAAGCCTTGGGGTAATGAGCAGGTTTGACAATGGGAGGAGGCTCACTCATTTTGCTAGGTTAATGGTGTTGATGGGGGCAGCTGAGACTAGTGATTGGTGATTGAGAATTCCCATAGGGGTAGCCTGGGGCTCTATGAGGAAGGTAGGGTGAGAAGGTCTCCCACTGGCCGAGGAAGCACAGGTTCAGAACAAACCTTGATCCCGTGCTGCAGCCCTGAGACACTGTACAGGGGCCTGGGGGAGGGAGGGATTTCAGGGCCATCTAATTGTACCTGTGCCAGGAAGAAAGGGCTCAATTTCAGGATGAAGCAAAGTGCTTAAGCATACTTACAGGCTTCAGGTGACTGTAGGGCCAGATAACTTTCTCAAATAGGTTTTGGATTTCTTACCTTAGTCACCACCTAACGGAGTCCCTGAGACTGGGCATGGCTGGAGCCTGCAGGTGGCCTTCAGGTGCTCTCATGGTGGGGCGGGGCTAGTGGCAGTGAGCAGGTGTCTGCAGGCTGCTTAGTCCCTCTGGTTTTGCATCACCTTGATTCTCTTTCTCTGCTGGGTCTGCTACTGGGCACCCTTCTCTGTCCCACTGAGTTTTCTGGACTTTAACTTGGCTATTCTCACTTTGATGTTCAAGAAAAAGCAAGGCTAGTCCCTGCCCTTGACAGTTTAGATCAATCCAGGTGTGTGATGATTAAAGCGACGTAAGGTGTTTTCCTGTAGTGTTCGCCTTCCTGTTTCTGAGTTATCCACAATCTCTGAGGATCTTTACCTCCTCATTCCTGATTTTCAAGTCCAACTAGTGATTGAGAAGACAAATTATTCTAATTTCTTTTCTTCTCCACTCTTTCCCTAGCAGGAGCCTCACTTCTCCCACCTGGTGCTTACATGGAGCTCAAAAATCTGTCCAGTCTGTGCTTCCAACTTCCTTTGTGTTCTCTGGACTGTGTTGATTACCTGGACTCTCTCCACTTTAATTTCTTGGATTTTAGCTTCTCTTATAAAACTCATCAGTCTTGCTTTTGCAATCATTCATTCACAGATAATTTGTTGATAGCTTTTTGCAGCCCTGAAGTTCAGGTGTTATATAACCACTTCACCCACAGACACTGGGATCAGAATATATGACACCAGGTCCCACTGGGACTCACTTTCCAGGTAAAAGCTGTAGCCCTCAACACATATATTTCTTTTTATTTGAAAACTTTTTATTTACAAAATCCTGAAATCTTGTGCCTTGAAAAATAAAGTTTTTTTTAAGATTTATTTATTTAAGAACTGGGGTACACGCCAGAGGTGTATGTGTGGGGGGTGGGAGGTGAGAGGATTCACCAGAGACAGAATGGGGAACAAATAGGCAGAGTGACTGAAATACACTGCTGAGGGAAGCAGCGAGTGGGAAAGGAGAACTTCTGTCACGCCCTGTGGGTCTCCTCCCTTGCTGGGGTGCCAACTCATGCTGCAGTGGCTGCAGATAACTTCTCAGTGCTGTGTTTTAACTCGTGGTGCCACCAGGGAGGGCCCAAATGAAGTTCTGATGAGCCTCTCTTCAACAAGTCCTTGTGTGGATAAAACAGTCATCACAGAATGAACTGGAAAGGAAAACATCTTGATGTAACAGTAGAGGCTTTCCATGCTGCAAAGATAAAATTTTTGACCTAGATCTGCCTCTTTATTGGCAAGTGACTAGATGGTAAATATGGCTATAAAATGTCAGTTTCACTAGCCACATTTATTTGATTTTCCTGAAAATCTGCCCGACAGACAGTTCTCCCTTTTATCCACCTTGATTGTTACTTGCAGAGCAGGTCTCTCCATAGCAACTGAAAAATTCTCCCAGTTGAAATAATCCTTTCCAGCTCTCAGTGCACAGTCTGGGAATTTTAGAAACAGAAGCCACTGTAACCATGAAATACTCTCTGAGATGTAAAAGGCCACAGCATTCCAGATAAATAATCATTTATCTTTCTTATGAAGGTAAGCACTGGGTATTAAAATGTTTGTGTTACCCTCTGTCATTAAAACAATGCTAACATAAGATTCTTAAATTACTTTCTTAACCATAAAAGTAATCCCAATATCTTTGTTACTACCCCACCGCCACCGCTTGCTAAAGTCTGGGTCAAGTTCTTGTATGAGAGGCTATTAACATCTTGCATTCCTTAAGCAATTGGTTGAAGAGATTTATTTTTTCCCCAGAAAGTTGATTGGATATAGATTTATGCCCTCACCCCTTAGTGGCCCTTGGGTAGGTATGTCAGATTCCTGAGGTCTTGAAACTCTTGTTTTAGTAACATAGTTTACACTTTTAATAAACCAAAATTTAACCAAAAAAATGTTTTCTGTACAGTATTATAATCTTCTAGAACCCTTCCTGGTCTAAAGCTTTTCTAACTTGATATACATAACTTGCTAAAGTTTTCTTTCTCTACTTCTTTGATGATGACCACATACCCAGGGGAGTGTACTTACAGTGGGATACAGGGGGTGTGTCCTGTCCCAGGTAGGTCCTAGGACAGGTACCATCTGCAGCATCAACATAGCCTTCCTAAATTTTGAGACTCTGCTTCATCAGAGAGAGGTACTATAACAAACTTCTTGACTGTTCTACAGTTTGAAAGTCTCCACTGAAGTTAGTTCCTGCCCACTGGGGTTATAAATGACCTACAAACCCCTGTTGTTCAGAAACAGCTTGTCATTACAAATCAGCTTAGCCACCCAATTATGAATTCTTTCACATTCAGGCCCAATAATTAGTGCCTTTATTTTTCCTCTATCACAGAAACTCCTCCAGTACCCGGAGAAACCCGACTGGTCTACTGTGCACACCAGCTCACCACCTCCATCAAATACAGACTCAAGGTCAAGGACGGGTGGACAAAAATTTGGGTTATCTGGGGGTGGTTGTTTCTTCCACTCTGCCTTATTCCTTCGACTGGGACAGAAAAGCCCTCAAGTCTGGGCAGCAGTGGCACTTGGTGTCCAGACCAACAGACAGAAGTACTAAGAGTTCTCTCAGCTGGTGACCACCCTCTCCTGAACCACTCAAGAAGCCTCATCAAAAAATTGTTGGAGAAAACTGGGTGCCCACGGAGGACAAACAGAATACAAGGAGACTGCAATCTGGTTAGTACTTACTGTGGAATGAGATTGGGTACCGTGTTCTAAAAGGAGCAGTGTGCTTGCTTGTCAATGACTTTGATAAAGCAAAGTCAGATATAAATCTTCCAATATACAAGAGGGCCATGCATTGTGGTACAGTAACTTACATTTGGTGGCAGTAAAGTATTCGGTATGAGACAGGCAGCCTTTTTTCAAATCAAGATGGTAATGTTTTATAGGCCTTACCACAACCTTTTGTAAGTATGAACTTCTAGTTGACTCTTCTTACTTAATGACTTTTCTGAGCTTGCAATGAACGTGCTCATGATTGGCTAGATAGATATACTGTTTTCCATAGCAACATGATATTGACCTGATATTTAAGTACTTTCTCCTGGAGATTGATTTTGTTTTTTAAACTTTTGACATGGTAGGTAGTTAATAAATGGGATAATCATTGTGAAAAGGAGGACTCTGAGCTGGGGAGGGAAGTGCGACAGGTAGAACTAAAATGAGACCTGTCGCTCTGTGACTCCCTTCCCAGCCTTTTCTAGTCCGTGGCTGCACATCAGCTATTCCAGCGTAGATTTTGCAAATGCCCATATTGGGATTTCCTCCTCCAAGGATTGAGATTTAACTTTCCTAGGGTGGAATTTATTTTTATTTTTTAAAGATTTATTTATTTGTACACACAGAACTGGGGTACAGGCCAGAGGCTCAGGGGCGGTGAGAGGCTTCACCAGAGACAGAACGGGGAGCAGAACAGGCAGATCAACAAAGTACACTGCTGACAGGAGCAGCTGGCGGGTCAGGAGAGGTCTGCCGTGCCATGTGGTCACCTCCTGGGCAGGCGGGAATCGAACTCATGCGGAAGTGGCTTTAGCTTCTCAGTGCAGTGCTTTAACCCGCTGCGCCACCAGGGAGGGCCCCTAGGGTGGAATTTTTAATAATATCTACAATATAAAGTCAACATTAATATAAAATCAGCATTTAATGTAAAATTGTAATGGTTGGCGGGTTTGACAGGAGCAGCAGAGAGGTGAGAGCTCAAGTCTTAAACCAACCACAGACAAAACACTCCACCATCCCTTTTCTGGCTGGCAAGGTTTTCAGAGTGAACCCACTAATGAAGATGAATGGAGGGAAGGAAGGAAGGAAGAAAGGAAGGAGGGAGGGAGGGGTGGAGGGAGGAAGGGAAAGGAGGAAGGAAAGAAGTAAGGAAGGAGAAAACAACACTCCATGAACCCCCCGAGCCCCCCAAAAAAGTTGGCAAATTTCCTCAGTTACAAAGGAAACATTTCTTGGCCCCAGTGTTCTGTTTTTTTTTTTTTTTTTATCATGACAGAAGGGTCTTGCTAATAGAATTTTTTTCTCTTCTGGGCAAACAATAAATAATTTAACAATTAGTAAAATTCCCAAGGGTTCCCAGAGAAAACATGTGGTATGGTAGGTGACTCATCTGTGATGACATTAATTTATATATAGAGCAACATAAGACTTCCCACTGGAAATAAGTGGGAGTCATATCACATTAATGTCCTCTGAGAATTTGCTTCAGGGAAATGTTCTTCCCTAATGACACGAAGTGCCTTATGATGGCTGGCTGAAAATTAGTTTAGCAGGGGAAATATAAACATGCAAAATTGTTCTCCAATTTGGGAGCGAGGAGAGAGGTTGTTTTGCACTTTTTGTGCAGCATTTTCTGTGACAGTATCAAGAGTTTGACCGATGTTGCTTCCATTTGCTCTGGTTCCCTTCCTTGACATAGAAATTGCCTTGTAGTTTTACCTCCATGCTGCTGTTGGCTTTTGTTCTCAGAGCTGCACCAGCCACATTGCCCAGAGGCAGGGATCCTGCAAAGTCTCCCCATTATTCCTCCACCTCCATGGAAAACAGGGTTCCAAACACCTGTCTTCTGGTGCAGACCATCAGGGAGTCAGCTTGTAGATGAGTCTTTTTAGGAAGGACAATTGTGTGTGGAAATGGAAGATTCATTTTAGAAATTCTGTGGTTAAAAAAAAAGAGGGTGAGGAGTTGAGTTTGTAGCCTTTAATGTTTGGAAAAAAGAGGAAAGTAGATCTTGAATTAGTGGAGGCTAAAAGGTTCCCTGTTTCATATTAGATCTAGGGAAAATCTGAATTTGTTTCTTAAATCAGTCTGACCTATTTGAGAGGACTGTGCATTTGAAAATAAATTCACTCAAGCTGAGGTCTGGGTAATGGATAGTCTTGCTCTGTGGTGGCTTCTTTCGTTCTTTAATGGGAAGAGTTAACAATAAGTTTTACTGAGGGATTGAGTAACTCCCAAAGAGTAAGTTCCATTTCAGTTACCAGGAAAATAAAGTCTGCTTGAGGCCCAGTGTACTGAAGGGAAAGAACCCAACCCGTACCTGGCACCTTCTAGTGTTGGGGCCCTCTGACTAGGCTTTCTCACCTGAAAGACAGTGAGGCTTCCCTCCCCATTTCTCCATGACGACTTGGGGCTCTGTATGAATTCGCTGGGGCTGGAGAGCTCAAGTTCACCCCATTCCCCTTCAGCACTCTCCTTCCCTTACAGCCCCTCTGTCTCACAGCCTTGCTGGGACCCCGCCTTTATCAAGGACACAGGAGCAGTGCTTGTGGGGTGCATCCATACTGCCCAGAAAGAAGACATTCTTAGGTATCTGCTCCTGCCCACCCCCAAGACCTCCCTGCAAATGCCCCAGGTCCTTGAGGGTTTTAACCAAGTTCCCCAAGCCATTTTCTGGGGGACCCATCTGCATAAGAAAACCTCTGTTTTAACTTCTCCCCCTATTGTCAGATCTCCAATGTGATTAAGTATGAAGTGCCAAGTTTTATCTTAGCTTGATTATCTAGCAAGTTTATCTTAATTCTTGTCAGCTAAGACTTTGCTCTGGGCCACTCAGAAATGTCATTAAATTTGGGGAAGACCCTCAAAAACCAGCACCTTCCAGTGACTTCTCAGTTCTTTGCTTCATAGAAGAAACAGAAATGTAATCTTCCTCTTGTCAGATGTAGTCCCCTCCTCACCAAAGATTTAAGGATTTTTTAGTTAAGAATTTGAAAGGGACCAGTGGATTCGCCCATAACACCAAATCAAATTCTAAATAACTCTGTGTCTAAAACCCTAAAGTTCATCTTGAAGGTCTGACAAATGCTGAATTAATGTAAATGAAGAAAGATTTCCTATAGCTATTTTGTTGCTACAAGTCTACACTGCGATAAGCTATGAACAAAGTTAAATCAAACAAGTGGAGGAGTTATAGAGGGGACCCCTATGTCTGCAGGGGGACAACCACCATGTGACTACCAACTATCTGGAGAGTTCACTCAGTAAAGGAGCTGTTTGCATTTTAACCAGTCTTTAGTCCAGGTTTATTTTATTAAAGCCTTTAAAATCAATTCCAGAATCTGCACTTCCCCTCTAAGCCTTATGCCTCCACCTGACAAGATTAAAAGTAAACACAATGGGCTATTCCTGAATCAGTCCATTCTTCCTTAACAAAGAATCATTTGACCAGAGTCAGCACCTTGCACAGTTCTTGGTGGCAGTGGGGTAGCAGTATTTACACAAATTTTTTTAAAAAGATTTTATTTAGGCCCTCCCTGGTGGCGCAGCGGGTTAAAGCACAGCACTGAGAAGCTAAAGCCACTTCTGCATGAGTTCGATTCCCGCCTGTCCCGGAGGTGACCACATGGCGTGGCAGACCTCTCCTGGCCCGCCCGCTGCTCCCCTCAGCAGTGTGCTTCATGGATCTGCCTGTTCTGCTCCCCACTCTGTCTCTGGTGAGGCCTCTCACCGCCCCTGAGCCTCTGGCCTGTACCCCAGTTCTGTATGCACAAATAAATAAATCAAAAAAAAAAAGATTTTATTTATTCATACAGAACTGGGGTATAGCCCAGAGATGCGGAGGGTGAGAGGATTCACCAGAGACAGAGCGGGGAGCAGAACAGGCAGATAAGTGCAGTACACTGCTGAGGGGAGCAGCGGGCTGGTCAGGAGAGGTCTGCCACACCATATGGATCTCCTCTGGGGCAGGTGGGGATCGAACTCATGCGGAAATGGCTTAAGCTTTTTAGTGCAGTGCTTTAACCCGCTGCGCCACCAGGGAGGGCCTATTTACACAATTTTAATAAATATCCTCCCCCAAACACAGCTGACCCACTGCTTTAGCACCTAAAACACCTAACTTTTAACACCTAAAAAAAAATCTGTGGTTTTTTCAGTCATGGCTATGTTTGTTAGCTCTTCTATAGCATTCTTTCTTCCACATCCAAGCAACTTATCTAAGATTCAAAAGTCTAAAAAGGCACCATGTTTTCTGCCCAATCACTCAACTCAGTTAAATTTTTTTTAAATACCCCTCAAAAAATTAAAGATTACACAGTAGCTGTTCATTCAACATAACTGAAGATTACACAGTTGTTCATTCAACACTGAAATCTGTAGTCTGACAAAATGCAATGCTTGCACAATTATTGAAACTTCTTCAAATCAGAAACCAGTTTACCTTCCACTCTATATACTTTTTATAGCCCATTCTGGAATGCACATCTGCATGATGGCTGGGGTTACCCTACTGTCTGCTGCTCCACACCCCTCCTATTCCAACCCTGGAAAGCTACCCAGCAACAGTATCCAGGAGGAGGCCCTGTACCTTGCATGGGATGAAATGTGGCAAACATTGCTTCATGCTGTCAAATCGCATCCAGACCACAGGTGCCTGGACTGTGGGCCTCATGGAGGTCCTGTTTTTTAGCATCATGGATCAGTTTCTTCCTGCCTACCAGACTACAGAAAACAACCTGAATAGCACTTGAAAGCGTATCATTAAGAAGTCATTTAAGGGCCCTCTCTGGTGGCGCAGCGGGTTAAAGCACAGCACTGAGAATCTAAAGCCGCTTCTGCCTGAGTTCAATTCCCGCCTGTTCTGGAGATGACCACATGGTGTGGCAGACCTCTCCTGACCCGCCCGCTGCTCCCTTCAGCAGTGTACTTCGTCGATCTGCCTATTCTGTTTCCCACTCTGTCTCTGGTGAAGCCTCTCACCGCCCTGAGCCTCTGGCCTGTACCCTAGTTCTGTATGCACAAATAAATAAATCTTTAAAAAAAAAAAGTCATTTAAGAGCCTCCTATCCTCCTAATCCATCTCTTTCTATCAAAGAAAAAGGAGAAACTTCCAGGGTGAAGGGGCTCCACATCAAATCTATAGATGTGTCCACAGCTGTGTGCTCTGTAGCATAAAATAAAGGAATAAAAGAATAAGGTCTGTCACTGACAGAGCAGGAATGAAGGCTGGGAAGTTGCTACCGTTAGTTGTGTGACTCTAGATACACAAGCTATCTTCTCCAACTTTTGCATGTACTTTGGGTCTACCATCCTCAAAGAAGAAAACATGCTTGATTGTCTGCAACATTCTTGTATTCTGCACACAAATATACCTATTAATTTATTCACTATATACTATATAATTGGATAATTGGTATTCTACAGCCTTTTATTAAGCAGCTATATTAAGCATTTTATTTTTGTGGGATTTTGTTTTTCCACTTAGTGCAATGAGGTAACACCATTGAAAAATTCATGATCCAGGCTTTTTCAGAGCCAATTAAATTTATACACAGAGTTATACCTGAATACATCAGATGGTCCTGGACTTGTGGCTTACAATACTACCAATAGTTTGGTTTCAAGAGGTTATTGGTATAAAGAATGTTATTCACACTTTTGTTTCAATTGATTTGCTTCCTTGGGTCTAGATGTCAGTCCTGTCAACAGTTTTCATTCTATAGACTCCCCTTGTGGACCAGGCAGGGGCCGAGAGTTAGGTATTATATTTGACTTGATCTTGTTCCTGTCCACTATCATCCCCTTGCAGTTAGGTTGGGTTGGGGATAGACGATTTGTGTGACTTGTGAAGAATGTGATTAATGCTATACTTTAGAGATGGATGACATGTTTTCTCTTGATTTGGACCCCGGGTCCACTCAGAGTGCATGGACTTAGAACCTCTGAAATTTCTACTGCAGAAGAAAATATATCAAAGGTACTATAAATTGTTTCACAGTGGGACCTTCCCTCTGGGATTTAGGACAGCTCCCCCCCCCCCACTGCTTCTGGGCCTTTTGGCAGAGATCAAGTGCAGAACAGGTATTCCTTGATGATTTCCCTCTGAGGCTGCTCGTGCAGTCCCAGGAAAGCTCTCAGGAGCTCCCCAACTGTCTTTGAGGAAAAATAATGCCTACCTCTGTGTCTGTCATTTTCTCACTGTGCCATCACATTACCTCAAGTGTCTTCTACTATGTGAACATCTCAGATTAGAGTAGCCAGGTGTCTATGATTTGTGAAATAAATAAAGCACTGGAAATATTTTTATTAATTTTCTTAGCAAGGATCAAAGGGAAGCAGATGGTATTCATTCATTCCATTTTCACACCTCTTAAGTACCAGGCATTGTGCTAAATCATGAGTATAGAATTGTGTGCAAAGCAGAAACCCCTCCTTAATGGGCCACTTGTTCTCAAGAGGAGAAAGAAAATAAGCAAATAGATAAAGTGACTTTGACATATTAGTGCCATGAAGAGAATGAAGAGGTATCTGCAAGAGCAGCCATTCACCATGTGAACACTGACATATGGCTTGGCTGGGCTGTGACATGCACATAAGTATAAAACACACACTAGATTATGAAGCCTTAGAACAACAAAAATATGGTTAAATAGTTCATTATATTTCTTTGACTTTTGCTAACATATTGAAATGATTGGTTTTGAGTATAGGTTTTGATAAACTATATTATTGAACATGAATTTCACCTGTTCTTACTTTTTGCACTGTGGCCACAAGAACATTTAAAATATTCTCAATATGCAGCTCACATTAGTGACTTGTGTTGTGTTTCTTGGAGCAGTTCTGTGCTGGAGAACGTGGGGTGGGGAGCTTTCTATTTCAGACTGAGTGTTAGAGGAAAGTATCTCTGAGGCAAACAATTCATAACTTGTAGTGCTGAACTTGTAGAGAGAAGGACTCCAAGGTACATGGCCCCTTGGGAGGCATCATTGTTACTGAAAAGTCCAGTCATGTCTCTCTTAATTGAATCTGGCTATTTGGCGTGCTTATGTTCCCTTCCTATGGGTAGGAAGGGAGGCATAGGAAGCGGTCAATAAAAAGCAATGGAGAGGGCCTCCTTGGTGCGCAGCGGGTTAAAGCACTGCACTAAGAAGCTTAAGCCATTTCCGCATGAGTTCGATCCCCGCCTGCCCCGGAGGAAATTCACATGGCCAGGCAGACCTCTCCTGACCAGCCCGCTGCTCCCCTCAGCAGTGTACTTCATTGATCTGCCTGTTCTGTTCCTCACTCTGTCTCTGGTGAATCCTCTCACCCACCGCATCTCTGGCTTGTACCCCAGTTCTGTATGAGTAAATAAATAAATCTTTAAAAAAAAAAAAAGCAATGGAGAGCCTTTTATTACTAGTGTTCTAGAACTACAGCTGACACTTGGACAACTCAGGGAGAAGGGGCATCAACCTCTAAATTTCACCTAAACTTAACTACTAATACCTGCTGTTGACAAGATGCCTTACCAGTAATATAGTAAGTTCTGTGTATTATATACTGTATCCTTAATGGAAGTGAAGGGAAATGTTCAGAGAATGATAAAGAAGAGAAAATGCATTTACAGCACTGTACTGTTTTTATCAACTCACTAAATTGATATGGCCTGATTACAAGAAAATTCAGTGATGTTGACCCACACAGTTAAACCCATGTTGTTCAGGGGTCGATTGTATTTGCTAAACTTTGTTGTTGTTTTTTCTTCCCACAGTGCTTTGAATCAGATGCTCTGATACTAATTGCTGGAGGAAATTCTGAAGAGCAGCTCAAAGAGGAAGTTTTCCAAAGAATTTCTCTCCTCCTGCTCTATTACATTATTCATCAGGAACAAATCTGTTCTTTAAAACTCAACATGAGTAATAGAGTATAACTTTTACCTACACAGCCTCCTCAGTCTCAGGCAGGATGAAGACTCCTATTTCCTATCACAGAATGAGACAGAAGATATCTTGGCTTTCACCAGGCAGTACTTTGACACTTCCAGAAGCCAGGTAAGAGGGCAGAACAGCTGACTGACTGCTGCTAAAGAGACAGTCTCAGAGCTTATTTCGTTCTAAAATACTCAGTGACTTCTAAGAGAGGTAAGCACTTGTGATTTCTAGTTATAGGTTTATGTGATATAATTTAAAATTCTGATCTAAAAAGGGGAATGTGATAACTAGTTAAGTAAAGGTTTACTTTGGCCAGAAATCCGATCGGTAGTCGGAAGGCAGCTCAGTGATGGGCCAACTTTTCTCCTGAGTTCCTGAGTATTAAACAAGTGTGACTGTTGACCAGACTCCCAGGACTGCACTGTAGTGATGAGGCAGCGTCTCCTGGCCAGGGAAGGAGAAGGCAGAACCAGTGTGAGAGGGATAAATTTATGATTGGTTATTTCACCAAAGAAGCAGCTTCAAATAGCATTATTCATGACAGTCAATGCTAGACATCTCTCTGTGGCTCTTGATCACATATGTTCAGGGGCTCCTTCAAGTGCTGTTCTTCTTTCCCACTCTTAGGAAAAGGGCGCCTGGTCCCCTGTGGACTTCATTACTCTGACAAGAGTTGGCCTTCCCATTCCCGTTTGCCTTCTGCCTAGCAGTGGGATGTCTGAGCAGATCAAGTTTGATGAGCATAGGAACAATTTTTAAGCCATATTTTCTGAAGAATTAAATGAAGAACCATCCACTGTATGCATTTGAGAGTGTAGCACAACTTGTTTTTTCCTTGAATTATTCATTGACATGTGTCTTAGTCTGTTTGGGCTGCTATGTCAAACATCCTAAAAAAAAAAAAACAAAAAAACAAAAACAAAAACAAAAAAACCTGGATAGCTTAGAAGCAACAGGAGGTTAGTTCTCACAGTTCTGGAAGGTAGGAAGACCAAGATCAAGTCACTGGGTAGATTTAATGTCTGGAGAGAGCCTGTTTTCTGGCTTGTAAATAGTCTTCCTCTCACTGTGTCCTCAAATGATGGGGGGGACAGCAAAGCACATTACTCATCCTCATGAGGCCTCATCCTCATGACTCCCTAAAGGCACTCACCCACTCATATTATCACTAATATTGGGGCTTACGATTCTGTCAACATTCAATCTGTAGCAACATGTATAGCTGTAATTCCTGGCCTTGTTCTGGCTTCTAGTATCCCAGATTATCTGTGTGCTCATCTTACAGCCAGTGACCAGCAAGCAATCCTCCAGATTTCTGTAAATATGTTTAGCATCTCTTGTTCTTGGCAGAATAAATGGAAAGACTGTTTATTAAGAACTTTTTGAAAATCATTTCAGCAACCCTAATCTCACGAATCTCAAAATTTGGTCACAATTTTGTTTCTATTTTCAATTGAGAAAATGGGCTTCTTTTACAGAACTCCATTTTCTGTTTGAATAAAGAGGTATGGCTACATATACTTTCTCCCATGCGGCACCTATATATAAAAACTTGATGAGATTTAAACACTAGGATTCTAATTATCCTTTGTTATTGCCTTTTCTATGCAGATTAAATGGTAGTTGAAAGTAGATGGTGTGAATGTATTCAAAACCGATTTCTGATTAACCAATGCATTTTGCAAATACCTGGGCTTATAAATGTTTTCTAGGTCAGAATAAAATAATTCAGTATTTGCATAGACATACTTTATGCATCTCTTCTATCAAAAAGAATGAATTCCTGCTGAATCATCACCCTTTGCTAGGCTATAGACCAGTGCTCTTGAGGATGCCTCTGTTTCCAGTTCTCGGGAAGGGCCCTTTCTGGTTAACCTGGGACTTCTTTAGGAACTCAGTTAATCTAGATTTTGACAGGGGGCTAGTTGGTATTTCACTGCAACATGTTATTCTTTCCAGGTAGGATGTGTGAGGTCACAGAAGGTGCTGCAAATCCAGGTCCAAACGTACTAGCATTTCCCCATCCTTGTCTGTACAGGATGCAACCTCCATAAGTCAAACCACTAACAGCTGCTCTAGGTGGACCTCACTCAACAAGAGGAAAAAACTTAAGTCACTGGACACTAACGTGGCCATCTTTCCTGATAGTCAAGAATTCAAATGTCCCTCTATTCCTTCTCTCTCCTGTCGACATTACTCTTTCTTAGTTTCTTGAGTCAATCTCTTAACGTTCTCCCCCTGTACCTCCATTCTTTCCACTGTTTGCTGTTTCCATGGCAAATGAACAAGGACTTGTACATAATTGTACACAAACGCTACCTCGTTTATGGAAGCCAGGCACTTTGACTACATCTGAGGACTTCTGGCAGGGAAGTGGTTGGAATTCTCCTTTACCCTTTCTAGCACTTGGCTACTCTTTCACGGCCCCCTGCAAAGCTCCCATCTCCATGAGGTTCATGCTGTGGTTTCTGTATGTCATTATCATTGTAGAACGCCTAACAATATCTCCAAATTTAACAAACTGTGATTGCTGACTCTCAGCCTTCCACTCTTCTCCCCACTGCAGTTATGAATATGCCCTTGCCAAGCTCACCAATTATATACTTGAAAAACAACAAATGAGTGCAGCAGTTACCTTTCACTGCTTGTCCTTTGTCACAAGACGTGACATCGACCCAATGACCTCCCCTTGTTCTTTTGATGAACAGACTTTCTTCTTTTACATCAGTGTTATGAGGGAACTTTCTGTTCTTGTTCTCTCAGCCTTTCACTCCCTACATTTTATTTCTCAACCATCTGTCCTAATTTTTATTCTCTAAATTTTGTAACTCCTGCCTCCTTGAAATTCTTTTTACTTGTTGATTTCTAGCATGCACTATCTCCCACTTTTCTCCTCACCGGATACCCTGTACCGAAATCTTTTGGAGCAGCCACTTACTTGATTTGTGATTCTTTAAATCTGGGAGTCCTTTATAGCACCCACCCCCTTTGGGTTTTCCTCTACTCACTCTGTATACTTTTGCTGAGTATCTTGCACATCTAAATATTTGTTAATTCCAATTTTTTGTTAGCCCAGATTTCCCTTTTGAGTTGTAGGGTCATAGATATACTAAGGTGTCAGAAATATCCATTTGGTATCACTGACATCTGAAATTAAAAGTCATTATTCCTGAGTCTGTTGTTTTTTTTTTTTTTTTTTTGGTATCTAACAAGGTATATTTTCTCTCTCTCTCGACTAATGTAGCTATATATACAGAGGATTCACCAGTGTTATCCCCAGTCAAGACCTTTCTTTAGAACTTCAGACTCAAATCCTCTGTAACATCTCTCTTAGGGTACTGTAAAGGAAACTCACACATAACATATCCAAAGTCAAGGTCATTAGTCAATCCAGCCAGTACCAATCCTCTTGTTTTGTTCCAGAGATCAGTAAATGGCATTATCATCTTGCCAATTGCCCAACTAGACATTTAATTTTATATATTTATTTCCCCTTTATATCTATTCCCTTCTAATTCCTGCCACTATTACCTCCCAAATACTTCCCTAACCTGTTGACTCTTTTTCCTTATCATAACCACTATTTTACCTGGAATGCTGCAGTAGTTGAAAAGAAGTAAGTGGTCAAACCAGAAGATCTCTTTAGAGAAAACAAATCTTTGGGGGGGAGGGAGAGGGAATGAGAAAAGTCAGATAGATGAGGAGAAATGAGGGAGTCAGCAAATTCAATATAATGCAAGTTTTCTTTTCCAGCGAGAGTTATATCTGAGATTGGAGGACGATGGTGGTTATGTGCCCACAAGACAATTCAGTCCTCTTTTAGATGAACTATTCCTGTCTTCTGGTGGGAATCCTGGAGACTTTTTTTTATTTTTGTCTACCATCTGCCTTTTTTTTTTTTAATAATAGTTTATTTTTACAACATTTTGCACCTTTTTCCATCTTGGTTGTAATCCCCCTGAACTTCCCATCACCAATTCACCCATGTTCCATCACCATAGTCCCATGGACTTTCCCCCCACCATTTTTGATCCCATTCCCCACTCCACTTCTGTAAAATGTCTGTGTTATATAGTTGTTCATCATTATTCTTTTTTCCCTTGGCCCTTTATGCTCCTGCTATGAGTGAAACCATCTAGTTTTTTTTTCCTTTTTGGCTTATTTTTGGCTTATTTCACTAAACATGATCCCTTCCAGCTCCATCCATGTTGCTGCAAAAGGCATGAGTTTGTCTTTTTTGATTGCTGAGTAATATTCTATTGTGTATATGTACCACATCTTTTTAATCTAGTCATCTACTTTTGGACACTTGGGTTGATTTCCTAGAGACATTTTAGTCAAAATAACTTCAGAAGGTAAAATTTCCTTTCATCTTGTATCTGATTTCAGTGTATGGGAACCAAAATGCTTCAGGAAAAGTCTGGGATACCAGACAGTCATGACCAGTAGTCATGGTGCTGATGAAAATACACTTCCTCAGCTGGCAGTCACAATCATTGCATTTTCCCTCCAATGTGTTTGTCTGGGACAAAGAAACTTGCCTCCCCCAGGCTCTTTTACAGACTATATTTTTAGTTCCTTGAATAGTACAAATACCCTCCACCTATTAGGTAACTTTTTCATGAATTTAACTTCCAATTCACACCCATGAAATAAACTCTGATCAAACAAAGACTGAAACTCTTTTTTTCTTTTTTTTTATTAGTTTATTTTTACGTCATTTTGTACATTTTTTTCCCCCATCTCAATTGTAATCCCCACGGGTTTCCCATCATCAAGTCACCCGTGTGCCATCACCATAATCCCGTGCACTTCACTCCCCCCACCCCCTTGTTTTTGATCCCATTCCCCACTCCACCCCCACAAAATGTCTCTGGTATATGGTTGTTCATTATTCTTGTTATTTTCTCGCCTGGTCCATTATACTCCTGCTATGAGTGAAACCATCCGGTATTTTTCTTTCTCTTTCTGGCTTATCTCACTAAGCATGATCTTTTCCAGCTCCATCCAAGTTGCTGCAAAAGACATGTGTTTCTCTTTCTTGGTTGCTGAGTAATATTCCATTGTATATATGTACCACATCTTTTTAATCCAGTCATCTACTTTTGGGCATTTGGGCTGCTTCCATGTTTTTTCAATTGTAAATAAAGCAGCAATAAACATGGGGGTGCAGGTATCTTTTTCAATCAGTGTTTTTGTGTCAAAGACTGAAACTTTTGATGACTGAATTGGTTCAGATGTGTTTTAAATACCATTTATCTTAGCATGTGGCAAGACCATTTGGATGGTCTTTTCAGGACAAACATTTCCTCCCTTTTTTATGAATAAACCTTTATGAGGAAAATAATTTGATTGATCTTAATCCCATTAAGGTTATAGTTATTCTACTGAGGATTTATGGTGTCTTGAGGAAATAAATTCCCTAAGGATTAGGTCAGTCTGTCTTTTGTTTACATTTTATAGAGATGACTAGAGAAAGAATTATTTGGCTCAATGGAAGATAGTCCATTGTTAGAAAATGTTGGGAACATCTTTGTAAGACTAGCTTATCCTCAGAGCTTAGCCAAAATCTTGTGAGGGAATTAATACCCATATGAAGAATAAATAGACTTCATTCTTGTTCAGGGTGAAATCTTGCTTTGATATTAAAACCAAATTTGTTTTATAAAATATCTATGCTGTAGCCATGTAAAATTATGATCTTTCTGAAACTGACCTGTCTTTATTCTATGTGACACCAGATTTTGTATGACATTTCTAGAACTAGACCTCTTCCTCAACACTCTCTGGATCAAAAGCACCTATAACAGAAAAAATAAAAGCCATCAAATTCTAAGTAAACAAAATAACATAACCATCCATGACTAGGGCTATCCTAGTCCATCTGTATCCATGGACCATGAGTCACAAGATGGTTCAGTTTCCTGGGACAAGATATTATCCTTATTCTTACACAATCATTTGCTATTCTCAATAAAGTCCAACTGAGAAAGTTTTATAAGTTTTCAGTATTAGTTTTATAACATTTTAAGAAATCTTAAAGGAAAATGTGTATCTTATTTAAATATTAAAAAATTATTTTCAGAGTCTTCATGATTTTTCTCTTCTACAAGTAGATCTCTGCAGACATCTAGGTAACAGGATATTTTGCAGAAATATATGTGTATATATGTAGCAACACACACATTTTAAATAAAAACCACCTATTCCTTGTGGTTTATATTGAATAAATGAATCATTTGACAAACATATATAAAATATTTAATGTGTGCATATCACCATCATCCTGAGCATTAGGAATAAAATTGTGTCCAAAGATAGGCATAGCTCTGTGGAGCTTACAGGGAAGCTGGAAGATACAACATTACATAAATATAATGATGAATGAACACGTTCAATTTAGATTAGATTACACAAAGATTACTTTGTACTCTGTGCAATAGAGAAATATTTATGAATGGACAGATTTTTTAGAAAAGCTGATATATGAACATACGATTAGACCCACATTTCCTGAAGTTGCATTCCAAAGTACATTTACTTGCCTACCTCGATGCTCCTTGAAAAGGGGTGGTTTTATCAAAACAATCTGCGAAATGTTAAAGATGCACATTGCAATGTAGCATCTTAAGTTGTCTAAGGAGTTCCATTAGTAAATAACTGATTTTATTAATCTCTCAATTTCTTTAATTTTACTGAATATCATTTCTTAAGCTTTGCCTATAGAATCCTTCCATGCCCTAATGATTTAAAATCACGAGAAACAGATACTCCATCAGAATGGCTTTCATTTAGTTATTATTTGCTATATATTACACGTTGTACAATTTCAGATGCACTACCTTATTGAATTTTCACAGCAGTGCAGTGGTGAGAGGTTAGATTTTATTACTCTGTTTCATAGATGAGGAAGTTGAGGGTTGGAGGTCAGTAAATGATTGCTTAAATTCACAGAAACTGAGCACATGTACTTAAAGTGTCTGATGGAATATTTCTTGGAACAACTATATTATTGTTGAGAAATGTTAATTTAAATGACATTATTTTTTTATTATGTATCTTAATGAGCAATGTTCCTATTGAACAAAATTCCTTATCTAGAAATCCTAGAAATATTTGTTATGAATGCGTGGTTGGACAGTGTCACATTTTTGTTTTTTTATATTATAAAAAGTGGATTTTTGTTAACATCTATTCATTCAAACTCATGCTTATTATATTCAGCAGAAGGTGACAATAAAGACACAAATATTAGTCTTTTACTATGAAGTTTTCTTAAATGCTTTTTTAGGACCTGATCTTAGGATAGGAACAAATTTGCAAATGGAGACCCTTTTACATAAAGAACAAAGGTTATTTCTTAAAACATAGGAATTACCTACTTAGGGTATGGGTCTTCCAAGAACAGTAAAGTTTATTTTATGTGCTAACTCTGCAAAATAAACAAAACAGCCTCTCCCACAGTTGGTCTTCTCCCTCCTGGCACATTCTCGATGGAACCCCAATACTGAGAACCGAGAGGAGTCTCTTGCTACTGCTCTTGAGACCAGTTTTTTCAGTTTGACCCTAGACCAGTAGTATCAGCTTTACCTGAGGATCTGCTGGAAATGCGTATCCTCTGGACCACGGAATCATAAAGTCTTTAAACAAGTCCTCCAAATGACTGTACAAATAAAGTTCAGGGCTACTGCATTAGATTATGCTTGCAAATTTCCCACCATCACAGGTATGCATACACATTGAAGTTTTAAGGAAAGGAATAAAAATAGTTTATAGGTTATTGGTTAGATAATTTAATTTTTCCTTCTATTTTTCTTTATTAAAATATTTTATTTTTGGACTATTATAGATATACTGAATCATCTCTAAAAGCATTGCTTTCACTGATTTCAGAAGAAATTTAAAACAATGACCTAAACAGCACAGGAACAGCCAGTAAAGATCAAGGGCATCAAAGCTTTTAATAGCATAATCTTACTCTGTGAGGAGGTGTTCTAAAACTAGAAACTGTTCAGTTTCTTGACATGAACTGCTCAACGAGGCATGGCATTCTGCTCAGTTTATCTCTTTACCCTTTCATTTGGCATTCAGGCATTTTACAGTAAGTATATTATGAAGACTTTGTCATCAAAAGTTGTTGCTAATTTCCTTTTTTTTATCATCAGTATTTTTAATGATGAAAGAATTATATTTATTAGTAACAAGTAGCACAAAAGAGATTGTCTTTGGCGTAATTTTGAAAAAGAGAAGACCATCACAAATTTAGCTTTCTGTTGCTGCTTTTTCGGTAGTAGTAACTTTTTGGAGTTCGTGCTAAATTCCTTGCTGTGAAATGCCTCCCTCACCCACAGGGCTGAGTCTAGTAGTTTCAATAGTTTGAGCCACTTCCTTCCTCCTGCTTAAAAATTATTGAATCAAATGTGCATCTGAGCCAAGAAAGCCTGTCTTGGGCATTACTGAACCAAGCAATGGGTTACAAGCTCAAGCAGGACTTGCGAACTCAACCCAATCTTGGGCTCTTGTACTGAAGTTTCATTTTAGTAGTGGGACTAACTTGGCCATTTGTTCACTAAAAGCAAGAAGGCCAAACTCTAAAAGGAAATAGATACATGCAGAGGGAAATAGAATGGAGAAATAGAATGGTCTTTCCCCCAAGCCCCACCCTCCAGAAAAGAAGTCTTGGATCTGATTTTCCAACTTTGACTTGAGTTCTTGTTGAGGGATGGCCACTCTTTTGTGGCAAAAAAAAAGCAAAGAAAGGAAAGTATACTGGCAGAGGTTGAGTCAGCAAATTTCAAATATTTGTTATGAAAAGCATCCAGTTGTTAGTTTGCCTGTTAGGAGCAGGAATCTGCCATGTGGAGGCCTCCAGGGTGTCCTGAAGCAACCTGCATCATCCAGGAAACAAAGGCATTTTCCTGATAGATTTTTATCTCTTAAAGATAAGAGATGTGAATCTGTCATAACATTACAGATCCTGAGTTTAAGTATGCATTTTTTTAATGTGTTAGGAAATTATTTATGTGGGCAAAAGCAAATGCCATGCTTCTCTAATATGCTTAACTTCTCCTTTCTCCTACTGAGAAGAATCCCATCTGTTCTAGTGGAGTAGAAGCTGGATTCTACCTTGGGGGCGGGGGAGGAGGTGTCACTATGAAAAAAGCAACCAGCACCTACTGGGACCCTTTCCCTACTGAACTGCTCTCTTCCAGATAATTCCTCAAAAATTTGCTGAAAATAAGTTTCCTTTCCTCTACACAGTGGTGACTAATTTTAAGTTTATACTTTCAGTTTTGGAGATCTTTTGTGCCTGTCTTCTTGATTTCTGTTGATTTGAGTGATTTCTGTTCCATGTAACTAAACATAAAACTTTTTTTGCCCTTGGCATCATCCTAAATGATTCTACAGGGAAGAAAAACAGCCAGTGTGTCATCATTACTTCCTCATAAGCAATGTACCTTTGTTAACAATCCTTTTGTTCTGTATCAGGGCAAATAAGACAAGCTTCATGTATCACTGATTTTTAAAAATACCTTATTTACCAGTGATCATGAAGACATTGCTCTGGGGGTCTTATTTCAATAGAAGATACCCAGTGGAAGCCATGTCATTCTCGTGTACATTTTCTAAATGTAATTTTTGATATTCAAAATATCAACCCCTAATACTCTTCTTTTTAAAAAACAAACAAAATAGAGATGCTTGAAAATTAATTCACAGTTATTTTACTGACTGAAATGACTAAAAAAATGAGTAGATACAGAGCAAGTGAAAGGCTGCAATCAGACAGGGTTTGAGCTTTGGCATTTTATATTTGTCTCTTTTGGAAAGACTTCCTGCAGGACTCTTGCTATCTTGCTATGTGCACAGGAGGTATTTATGGTTTATAGGTTCATCCATAATCACCCAAAAGAGAACCAAGTATTGTTTCAGGAGCAAGCTTAGTTAAGTTTTCTTACCAAACCTATTTGTGGGATCACATGGGAAATTCAAAATTAATATTAAGTCTTGTGTATCAGAATGCGACTTCTCCTTAAGCTTTTTTGCAGTGTTGATTTTCATATGAAGGGAAACAGAACTTGCCATCCAAAAATAATCCTCCTTGACATAGGATTATTTTGAACTGGTTATTTTTAATAAAGAGCAGGCATAAAAATCCAAGTAGAAATTACCTTTTTAAAAAAGAGATACTTACTCAGTGGTCAAATATTTTGAGGCAATTTTTAGCAATCTAACATTTATTGTTTATTTATGATTTTTACCTCTAGGAATATACAAGTACCATATGAAAAACCTCAGAAGTTTAATGAATTCAGCAAAATCATTAGGTGATAACAGTGACTTCAACTGTTTTTATGGAGAAATAGCTAGTGCCAGAGGTAGCCAAGTCATGCAATATTAAAACACCAGCTAGTTGACACAGCATTTCCCATTTTCACATATTTGCTTTTGAAAATACATTTGCCTAACCAGGTCTATTAAATCCGGGAGTACTAAAGGCTATGACCTCATTATCCCAGTGTTCATGTTATCATATGATAAATTTCTTCACACAAAGCTCTCCTCACTGAAAAATAAAAGTACCAAAACTCCCTTAGGCTGCTGATTAGAATCATTCATCACATTATAATATCCAGTGTATATTTTCAGAAAATAGAGGTCTGCCAACTCATCCTAAATAATACTAAAATAGAAAGTGAGTTATAGCTGACTTTGATAGATTAAAAATAAACTTTGGAGGGCCCTCCGTTGGTGGCCTAACAGGTTAGGACACAGCATTGCAAGCTAGCTGCAGCCACTTCAGTGCAGGTTTGTTACCAAGCCCCAGGGATGATCCACAGGGTGCTGCAGACCTCTCCTGTCTCGCCCGCCGACCCTCAGCAGTGTACTTAGTAGATCTACCTGTTCTGCTCCCCACTCTGTCTCTGGTGAACCCTGTCACTGCCCCTGAACGTCTGGCCTGTATCTCAGTTCTGTCTGCATAAATAATTTTTTTTTTTTAAGATTTGTTTATTTGTACATACAGAACTGTGGTACAGGCCAGAGGCTCAGGGGTGGCAAGAGGCTTCACCAGAGACAGAGCGGGGAGCAGAACAGGCAGATCGACGAAGTACACTGCTGAGGGGAGCAGCGGGCGGGTCAGGAGAGGTCTGCCACGCCATGTGGTCTCCTCCGGGGCAGGCGGGAATCGAACTCATGCGGAAGTGGCTTTAGCTTCTCAGTGCAGTGCTTTAACCCGCTGCACCACCAGGGAGGGCCATAAATAAATCTTTTTTAAAAAAATAAAATAAATTTTAGAAATATATAGGACAAAAAAAAAAAAGGAGTTGCAGGACAATGTCTAGTAATGCCTACCTTTGTCCATTTTTGACATCTGGTTAGTTCTGACTCCTCAGGAATGGCAGGAATGACACTGTATCGTTTCACGCTGAGTTAATGCATAGCAAACAACACTGCATGTGTTTCAATGGGATGGGTTCACTCTTCTTCACATGTATGTTGCCACACCACACCCTTTTCTGAGGCACACAGAGTCCTCTGCCAAAGTCCATTGGATCCCTCCACATTTTGCTCTCCAACTCCTTTCTTCCCCTTCTGGCAGCTTCAGTTCTATTGTCAGATCCTTGGGGGTTTTGTTGTTGTTGTTGTTTGCCTATACTTTTGTAAAAAAAATAACACAAGTTAAAAAATAATCAGCATTGACTTTAAGAGAAAGTTAATTGATAAGAGAATCTATGAAGAAAAATTACAGAATAGGACATAGTAATAAAAGGAATATGAAACTCATGAATTGGTGAAAAATAAAGTAGGCATTCTTTTAAAAAATAGTTTAAAAATCTTACCAAAAGAGAACGGCAATTGATGGTGAGTTTGGGTTAGTGCTAAAATGAGTAAGAATGTATGTTTTTCCCATGTAGACTTGTTTCTCTGCTAGGCGGTTGATGGAGCTATTTCTACAGAACAGCTTTTCACCCATTTCAAAGGAAGACTTCATGCCAAATAGTCCAGGAATCTCCAGCAACTCCTCAGTTGCTCTTGCCAGCTGCCCAAGGACCAACAGGCAAAGCTGCCACCCACCACTCTAGAGAGTAAGTTCTGATTCTCTACTCAGAAAGTAAATGTTTGGGACCTCCCTGGTGGCCTAGTGATTAAGTCTCAGCACTATCACTGCTGAGACCTGAGTTCAGTCTCTGCCAGGGAGGTGACCCACATGGTGCAGCAGACCTCTCCTGTCTTGCCCACTGTTCCCCTCAGCAGTGTACTTCATCAATCTGCCTGTTCTGCTCCCCACTCTGTCTCTGGTGAATCCTCTCACCCCCCCCGTACTTCTGGCCTGTACCCCAGTTCTGTATGCATAAGTAAATAAATCTTTAGAAAAATATATTGTATTATGTAACTAAAGAAGATATATTGTATTGGATTTTTGAAATTACAGAAATTAACATGTTACATTAAGGAGGCAAGGACCTAGGGGGATGAGAAAATAACTGTTGCAACTTAGCACCCGAGTGCCACATTCAGCCTGTTCCCAGGAAAAGTGGTTGTGTCCCTGTGTACATCAACTGTCAGACCTGTTTGAAGCAGGGCTCAGGAGTGGCTACAAAGTTAATCATAGGTCCATTGATGGGAAAGGTTCATAGAGAGTCTGGCTGTAGTCACCCCACTCCAGTCAATACGCCATGGCATCTGTGTGGGAACTGGGGTAAGTTAGCAGAGTCCCGTAGCTTCCAAAGGTAGAGAGTTTACCTTCTGGCTGCCACTGACATAGCAGCAAGTAAAGCTTGACTCACAGATGACCTAAGAAGCTTTATAAAGTCTTAAGGAGCTTTAGTTCAGAATAATACACAATGGAGGTGGCACAATCTGGGGCAGCCTGAACCCCAATACCATGTTACCAGCTGGTATCACTAACATGATCTTTTGTAGCAGATATGCCTTCCAAAAATTTATGAGTATGTTGAGAATGGAATATCTTGCATTAAAACAAACTATAAAAAGACAGTTCCTTAAATTCTACAATTTGTTTTAAGTGGTATTGTTGCAGAGCAACCCAGTTGGTTGACTGATTGTGGGTCCTCACTTGTGAGCTTAAGATTCAACTGCCCATTCACACAAAAAGGTCAATAATAGGTTTATTTACAAGGGATAAAGGAAATGAATAACTCAGGGAGAGAGAGAGAGAAGTTAATTAATGTGTCCTACCAGTTCCACTGACCTGAATCCCCAACAGCATACTGAAAGCTGGTGATGAGCCAAGAGGCAGGCTGTGAGCCACGAAACTAAGAAACCCTCGAAGCCCACATGTCCAATTTTATATCCAAACCTGGCTGCTCAGCTCCACCCTCAGGTCCCAGTGCGTTTCTCTTTGGTATTGATGGGATTTGTAGTTCCAGTATCTTGGGTGGGAGTGGAGTCCACAAAACCTGTGTCTGTAGAGTTCATTCAGGACATCCTTTCCCCTTTACAGTATGATCAGTTGATTGTTTGATTTGACTTGTTATTATCTGTTATCACTTAAAGAAATGAAGGTTTAATTTTGTACTTTCCTTTATTCTTTTACAAACCAGTTTGCAACAACCTTTTATTTCCAAGTAGGAAACAGAGTATTCACTCATATATCTGCAACCAAAGAAAAACTACTGTGAATAACTTTTTATACTTAAGTCTTTTATATTTGATTCTGAAAGTCATTTCCCTTTTTAATCTCTATTCCTTTCCTCCTTTATTTCTTTTCCTTGTTCCTGTTTGTTTTCATTGAATAATCTTAAAATTGCATTCTGAATTTAAAAGTCCAGAAACCTAGAAATATAGAATCAATTTAGGAATTATAGAAAAATATATAGAATCAATTTAGGGATTAAATAATCCAAACTGAAGGTTGTCACATTTATCCTATCAGCTACTTAGTCATTGAGAATAATAATGAACACTTTTGATATTGCAAATAGTTTTGAGAGCTTTTGAAAGTAAATACTTATATGGTACTTAAAAGGAGCCCAAATGTTATGTTCCCTCTCTAGCACTACTTTCCTACTTTAAAGGCTTAATTGTGATCAGGTAAAAATCATTACCAGTGTCTATCATGGTTTAAGTGAAAGATATTAATTCATGGTGGATGAAAGTGCAGGAGTTTAGTGAGTTCCTTGCTTGCCATTGTGATTTTCAGTGAGGAGAGTTTTTTTT